AAGGGCGTGCTGTTTGCCAGCAGCTTTGTGCCGTCAGCCTGCCCGCCTGCTTGCCTGGCTGCGCAGTGTCAGGAATCAGAACGAGGATATAGAAATACTTATATTCAAAGGATATAAATAATTCAAACTATAAAGAATAAAATTTGTTTTAATAATTTCAGTTTCTGTGCTTATGACAGAACTTTCACTGTAAATTGTGGTGGTTTTTTTAAACTGAATTTCTTTTCATTGTGTGAGAATTTCTTTGTAAAATAGGAAAACAGCTGATACAGAAATCTATAAAGTAAATACGAAGTTCTCTTCCATTCTGGATTAATTTGTAATAATCACTGAAGTGTAATTTTAGCAGAGAACATAAAGATGTCTGATAGTATTTCTCCTTCAATTTATTACTCTACAAAAATAATTAAATTGAGATAAAGAGGCAGTAACTGAAAACACACTCTAGTAGTGAAACACACTCAAAGCATCAAGACAGACTGAAGTGATCTGACCAAGACTGATTTGAGGGAAAATTCAATAGCGTTATTTAAAATTTATCACTGGCAACAGACATCTAATAGCATTTTCTTCTCAGGTCTGTTCTTGGAATACATGTACTCTGTATGTGCTTTGTACTTGGCAAAATGTACAGTTTATCTCTAGGAAAAGAGGTAGTAGAGTAATCCTTGCTCTCAGTTTGTTATTCTGTGTTTAATTTGTTAAATCAAAGCCTTTTCTAGAGTTGCTGTTCATGTCGTTCTCCCCTCTCCTCCTGGCAATTTTGGCAAAACCACATATCACACTCGATGATTCAAAGATAAATTCTTTTTATTCTAATCTAAAAAATAAGGTTAGCATTCTTTCCATGGAGATGCACGTTGTCCTCCACCTTTCTGTGGTCCTGATGGCTGTAGCTGCCTTACATCAGTTCCTTCAACCTTTTGCCCTTTTCCTCTTGACCTACATCTGCTACCTACTTAACATCCTTCTTCTTTAGCATTCATGGGGTATGTGTTTAATTTGGCTTCTTGAAATGCACAAGTGTTCTATGAAGTAGAAAAAGAAGAAGGTAATTACAGAGTCAGCTTCTTCTCTCTACTGTTGGTGTAAGACATAAATTCAGTGATACTGCAGCAGAGTGTGTGAAGTAGGAGTAGAATTTGGCTGTTATAAGCTGGAAGGTTTTAAGACAGAAGCTCATTGTCCTTAGCTATATGTTAGAGGTATTTTGTTTGAACAATGTGGGAGGGAAGGGTAAGTTAGTGTATTATTTATTTTTTATACTACTTTGAAGCTTTGCTAAAGAATGCTGTATTCTCTCCTTCTAAAAGAGTTTAGTGACAATTGGTAACTAAAATACTTTCTTCAGAGGAAACAAACATAAGTCTAAAGTACTTAGTTATCAAAGAATTCTGATGACTAGCACATACATTGATGTTGAAAAAGAACTATTATGTGCATTGTGGTGTGATACATATAACAGTTAACAGAGCAGAAAAAAATCTTTCTTGTGCCCAGGTAAATTATATAGGTGGTTGAATGTATTATTTCATTTTAATTAATGAGGTGTGTGGCATAATGCAAAGACTACTCTTATAGTTCAGAGATACTCTTACCAAAACCCCATCCATATAAATAAAAAGGAGATGCTAATGTTGAACTCCACTTTGGGTGTGTATGGATGTATAATAATTATGTATTATGTGCATGTGTGTACTTATGTAATAATGAAGGAAGAGAGGTGTATTGATCTAGTATGTATCCGGATGCATACATTTTTAATCTAATATATTTAGAAATCACTGAAGTGATTCCTATCCCCCTGGCACTAATGAAATAAACAGAACTTCTGACCATGTAGCAGTGCCTTGTAATCTGTAAAAATTGTTGCCAGCTTGTAACTAGATATTTGTGATGCATTTACATTTCTGTTTCACTGGTTTATGAAGGTACGTTAAGGTGTGCTTCTTGAATATTCTAATTGATACTGGCACTCTACTCAGCTTTTTTGTATTTTTAGTGTGGGCTAGCCTCATTTTACACTCTAAAACTAAATGGAGATGCATTTGAAGTTAAAAGACAACATAGTCACTTACCAGCTAATACTTTAAAGACAGAGAATGTGTGCAAACTGGTGCAAACGTGGTGGTGATTGCTTGGGTTTCTGAGAGGTATTTGCTGGAATTGGTATTTTTAGAGTCCTGTGCAATTCTGCTTGCCTTAGGCTGAGTGGTGTGAAATGTAGTTGAACTAATGACTCACGGTGGTGAGATCATTTTTAAGAACGTAGTGGGCTTCTTATTGTACAATACTATGGCAAGTATTTGCCCTTGTTTCTCCAGTGATGCTGCCTCTTCTTGTGTTCTGTTTTAGTCTGTCTGACAAGCACCCACGGCACACCTTCATATCCCTCCTAAAAATCCTCTTCTCTGTCTGTAGGATATTCTGTGTTCCTTTATTAGTTACTCTTTATTTTGTCTTGTCTGTGTTAAATCTGTCATCTTTGTGGTACAGATCATGTATGATTCTGTTTTATAATGACTGCTGCGTGTACATAGGATTGCACATGTTCTTTCTTGTATTACTGCCTACTCTATGCAGAATTGTCTTCTGCAGACCTCAGAGTGCATGCCAACATGGTGTAAGTACGTTTTTTTGTTTAATGAAAGATGAAGAATAGTAAATGGAATAATGAACTTGCTATATTCTTAAAGGCAGTCGATGGCTGTGGTTGACATAGCCTTTAAAACCTGACTTCATCTCTCTGACTAATTCCTAGACTGCATTTTCTCGTTGTTATGAAGTACTGTTTCATTGAATCTGACTTTCTAATGAATGTGCTTTTAACACAAAATATGTCGTTCTTGAGAATTTATTTAATTTTAAAAAGTAAAGTCATATTGTCAGGAAACATTTCACGTTTGAAAGCTTTTCTTAAATGTTTATTTCTGATAAGGACATGATGTAAGCTTATTCATGCGTTGTGGTCATTGTAATTTCTTATTTTCTTTTTAAATAAATGCATAGTATTTTTATTGGAAGCTCAGTAATCAGTGAAATCATATAATGCCATTAGCTCTAGAGATTCCACTTTCTCCTCCTTCCAGTGTTCGGAGGATAGCTAGGCAGAGAAAGGAAGAAGTGTTAGAGAAAAGAAAAAATAATAGTTCCTGCTTAATTTTTTGTAGTACATCTCTTTTCAGTAGAGCTTACTCTTGAAAGAATGTTTTTGAAGTGATAAGTTTGGAGCATATGGAATTAAAACCAAAGAGTTTCTTGCATAAAACCAGTAAGTTTACTTCTCCCCTGCAACCTCTCAAATAAGATGAGAGATTTCAATTCTTGTAGGAACCTAGGGGTAGCCTGGGAAATCAGCTCTGTAAGTGGGTACAGTTGAATGCAGTGGTGTTGGGCTAGCTTTTAGAAAAAAGCTAGTGAAATTATGTTTGAATATATGTTACACAGTAATTTTAGATATCAAATTATTTTCGATTAGATAATAAAACTTATAGGAAGAATTTGGATGATTGTAAGTGGCTGATGTTTGTGGAACATGGAGCTGTAGAATTATGTTTTTGAGTCTTCTGTTATGGTAAACTAAGGCACAAGCCTAAGTAAATCAGTGTACCTTACAAGTACTCCTTTTTTTTTTAGCCACAAAACCAGTTTTGACAATACACATACAATTAATAATTATGTAATGGAAAATAGCTTTTTGCTCCCTTAAATCCACTTTTTTTTTTTATATGCAACTTTAGAAAAGTGCTTCAGAAATCCTTATTTTTTATGTAACAGTTTAGTAAAACAGGCTTTCATATTCAAGGATATGCTCTGCTTAAAATAATAAGCCAATACTTATTGAGAATTAGCCTTTTAATTATACTGGTAGCTGGTGACACACTGAGCAGTTTATATAACGAGACAAATGAAATAATGCTGATTGATTTTGCAGTTTTTTGTTTTGTTTCCCCTCCTGTTCACTGAAATTATGAATTTTTAAAGCATGTGAGAATGCAAACCACTCAACATCCTTTTGTTTGGATAAATATCTTAATTTTCGCTTACAGTGCTATGGATGATAATGACTTTTTAAGGCTTCTTGATTCTTCATTGCAGGTGTAAGATGAAATAGAAAAAGAGGATATAGTATGATGGTATACCATGGCTGTCCAGGAAATACAGAAATAGGGTAGCTAGCAGTGTTGCTGATTGGTTTGTGACAAAGCAGTTGCATGGCTAGAAGGGAACATCATCGAAGGAGAAGGGAAGTCAAAATAATACAAAAGTTATCGAGGGTAAGAAATTTATCTTCCATTTCAGCTGCAACACTTGACAGTCATATCTGTCTATGTAGATAGATGGTATGACTGTAAAATCTCTGTATAAAAGTTGCCTGCATCACACTAGAGGTCTAGCTAAACCCCTTCAGTGTGAAAATCTAATAAGCATTTGCACAGGAATGGCTTTGTTGGTTGTTTGTCTTTATTATCAAGACAAATAACTTTCTTGTCTGTTTCTGATGTTTTTTGACATCATTTGGCCTGTCTTTTCCCCGTACCTCCTCCATCCCTCCTATGTAATTATTCAAAGTGGTGTATTTTCTACGTAGAAACTGTGGATGTGAGATCGTATCTGCAAGACTTTACACTTGTTTTCAAAGTACTGTCAAGTTTTGGATTATACGTGAAGTTTATTTCCCACATCAAAAGTAAATGATTCTGAAAGACTAATTGAAGGACATCACATAAATGACTTTGCTTACATATGCATGGTAATTGCATGCTGGAGAAATCTGAAATACGTAGCTATTTAAATATGAGGTAAAAATGTGTCCAAGTTGTAGCCATATTAGCATTCAGAATATCTCCGATCAATACCATTTATGAATTAAATTTAAAAATACCATATCGTGCAAAATGTTGAGTTTGTGCTTTAGAAAAGTATTCCCTACTGGAATTTTTGTTTAAAAATCTTTTTGTATTTATAGAGAAACTGAGCCATACAAATGTTTTTAAAAGTTTGCACTTCTTTAAGGCTATTTATTTTCTAAAAAAGAGGACTTGAATATTTTTGACAAATATACACATGATGTTACGCTAACAAACGGCCATGCAACATATATCTTACATAATGAAGAAATTGAATATACAAGACCTACTCTATTTAACATATATATTGAAAATTTACAGTCTCGCCAATAGTTAAAAAAAGTTTTTCTTATTTGGCAGTATTTTTCTATGATTTGTTCAAATATTCCACTTGATGTGTTTTGGTGAATACTGAAATCTAGTCAGTGACAACCTGAGGTACTAAACATTTCTGCCTTACTTCTTTGTCTTCAAAGGTGATCTTTTTGTTCCTTTTAGGCTCTATCCATGAGTTGTGTATTACAGCGTTATTTGGCATGGGATCTGCTTCCACTATTGAAACAACTCGCTTTTTCATCTTACTTTTCAGAACTTTCTGAAACTTTTGCCTTGTGAATGCATAAAGTAGAGGGTGAAATATAGTTGTTCCATATGCCATTACTAGAAAACATAATCGCAACTTTACCAAAAGGTCACTTGGGCCCAAACATAAGATGGTGGTGTTTAAAACAGAGATGGGTGTCCAGCAGAGAAGGAATGTTGAGATAATCAAGAGGGACATTCTGAAGACTCTCTTTTGCCGTTCTCGTCGCTCCCGGTGCCGTTTTACAGCTCGGCGTAGAGCAATTATGACAGACACAGAAGTCCTTACGCCAAAGACTACATTTTTTCCTCCACTGCTGTGGGACACATCTGTAGTCTCATGCTGAGTGGTCAAAGAAATAGTTTTTTTCTTTCTAGCTTTCTTTTTTTGTCCCGTGGTAAATCTTGTACCAATCCGAATATTTAGAGCCTGGAGTATTTTGGTGTATGTAATTAGCATTACTATAACAGTGAAGAAAAAGATCGGAATCTGAACGAGAAGGTGGTAGTACATTCCTAGCTCAGTGTGGTACTCATTTGTACTCACACACAGAAGTGTCTTATTTTCCCAAGTACTTGCACTTTGAAGGCTGAAAAAGTTGACTTCAATGAAAGGAATCAGGAAGGAAAAAAGTGAAATGATCCATATTGATGTCATTAATATCACAGCCCTTCCCATGGTCAGAATTCGATTAGCAGGTTTTACAGAGATGTCGTATCGGTCCAGAGTAATAGCAAAGACGTTGATTGCAGTTGAAACGCTTGCAAAAGAGACACAAGCCTCGTGGAAGCAGCAGATGAGAGCAGTGTTACTCTCCAGTGAAAGCAGAAGTATAACTATAGTTAGAGGAATACATCCCACACAAATTATTACATCAAGTACATGAAGGTTCATTGTAATTATGTTACTGACAGAATTGATTAAGTTGGATTTCATACAGTAAAGTACCAGCACGGTGAGGTTGCTGCCAAGTCCCAAAACAATTTCTAACATCAAAAATCCAGTGAGAGAAACTTGAAAACTTAATGGATATGACAGTGGTCGGTACATGTTGGTGTCGATGTCATCAATGTCATCTCGAACCGTGATGTTAGATTCAGACTGCATGTTGACTTCCAGAATGGGGGAGAAACACATTCTTTTGTTGCAGCTGTTTTTTCTCCTGAAAAGTGAAATAAAATATGGAACTATTTGATTTCTTTTTCTAACACTTACTGTAGATAAATGCTGGGGAAGGAGGAGGGGGGAGAAAAGCATCTATTCTTATCAAACTCTTGATTTACTGTATGTTCAGAGCTTTAGTTGGCATGGGCTCAAAAGCCTGAGGACCTAGAATAAGGTCTTTCCTTTTAAAAAGGAAAGCAGGATTTGTTTAGGGGGGGAAAAAAAAAGTGAAAAGCTTCCACTTAGGGGAGACAGGGCTTTATTTATAGTGATGTGGGTTTTACAAAGGGCCCATTTGTTGAATTAACTATACTTGTGCATGGCCTTTGTATTGCGATGAGGGTCATTTTAGAAGAACGTTTTAAGTATTAACAAATTGGTACTCAAGATCATTTTAAAAGGGCTCTTGTGGAAAAAGAAAGTGATAGGAACATGGAGAACTGTTGTTTACGTATCATAAAAAAAGCGTTTAAATTATTTATGTCAATTTAGCAGCCTCTTTCTTATGAAGAGTTTTCAACAGTGTTGTGAGCTGAAACTTAAAGTTCTGTAATTCAGCAGATTTTTACAGAGCTTGAAGACTTCTGTTCACTTTTATGTTGTATTTATCTACACGTATGAAATTTGACACTGCAACAGTTTTATGTAAGTGTGTATGATTTCAAATGCAAAATATTTGTAGCTTTGGGGGAATGGAATTTATTTTAAAAATACTGCATTTCCTTTTTCCAATTTGAATATTCAGTTTCTTCAAGAAATCAGTGGAATCATGGAATGAAAAAGTATTTAATTTTATTCCAGAATAGATTTAGGCAAATAATTTTAGAAAATAGTACTTAAAAAGAAAACTCTTTCAGGGTTTTGATTTGTTGGTTTGGTTTTTTGTTTTTGTTTTTTTTTTTTAATACAAACTGCGAGTAAATACAACAGATTTATGTACATAGCATGTTTATCTTAGGAATAAGTGAGTTTTAAAAGCAGTAGCATTTATTACATCTAGGAGATTCTTTGTGTTTCATCTGCTTTGTTTTACACATGCCGATAGGTTGTAGCATCTGCATGTAATAACTGATGTTTGTATTATTTATATTGTCAGCCAGCTCTTGAGTTTGTAATGAAATGAATAAATAAAAGAGAGGTAATTCAATTTCTTGTTATGGTACTTGAGGGTGGGTTTTATTTTATTTTTTTTAGGTAGCTTTAAATTTAAGAGGGGATGTACTTGGCATGAAAATAAATTTAAATGCAGACCTTTGTTTCATTCGGAATATATTAAAAATGGATAAGCACTAAGGTGAATAAAAATGAGCCCTTTTTTAATGAAAGTATGAATTAAGCACACTTGGGATATAATATGCAAATGGATTTTATCTGTAGTTCTGAAAAGCCTCAATTGCACAATACTATTAATTGCAAATTGTATGATGAAAATTCTTGGTATACTTCAACAGTTATTTCAGATGTGCCTCTTAAATACAAAAGATGTAAATTAGAACATACTAGTCTCAGGTATGAAATGAAACAAGAAATATTTCAAAAGGTTTAATTTATAATCTAGGCAACCTCTATTATGTTTCTGTTAACTCTCTGGAATACAGTTTCCTCTGTGTATGCTGTCCTGGCTGTGAATGAATTTCAAGAAACCATTCCAAATGCATTACTGGTTAAATGAAGTTCTTTCCTATTAGCAAAAGCCAGGAGGAAATCAAAAGCAGATCTGCTAAACCAAATGACAATCTTAACTCTATGCCAGTGGAAATTCTGTGAAAACAGAAAACTTGAGATGTGCTAAGTCTTATGAATAGAGTAATAGCTTTCAGTTGAATAAAAGCAGAAACGTCAAGGCAGGGAACTAATTTACCCAACGCATTGCCCCTGGACAGTGCGTGTTCCCTTGTGAATGCTGAGCAGAGGTGGGGTGCATGCAACTGCTGACCTACCTGTTCTCTGTGCCTCAAGGGCCTTTCAGATCATTGCAGCAGCTTGTCATAAATTGATACATGGTGTCACTGACAGGTATTTGACATGCACTGTAACCTGGAAACCAAGTAGTAGCTGGGCTCTTTTTTCATTCCTTGCAGGCTTTTTTTTTTTTCTTTTTTTTGTTCCAGCACTTCAGCAGCAAAAAATTCTGCTTAAACATGGGGACTTCTGAATTGCCTGAGATACTTCTACAGACCAGTGCATATTCAGTGCATATTCATATTCAGTGCATATTCTGTGTGTCTGTTCTGAGTTTCAAGCCAGCAATGACAAATAAACCTTCTTTTAGGTGATGTTAATTTCTTTCCCCTGTTGCATTTTGTAGCAGCCTGTTTTTATTTTCCAGGTTTAAAAAAAAAAAAGAAGACTTTCTGATTTCAGAGTGTGTGTAGACATCCTTTAGTTTATGGTTGCATATTTCTTTCTGTAATATTCCTGCTCATTACTTTTGATGATGGCTTAGTCAAAGAAGTTGCTTTACATCATAAAATCCAGTTCATGTGCTTTCAGAGTAACCATGAGTTACCTAATTTGGTTTATTTTCATTTAAGGAGAATACATAACAGACCATAAAATTGAGAAAAAAAAATCCATTAGTCATTATGACAAATAAGTTATTTAGAGAGAAGTATAGAAAAAGCTTGATTTAAACCCTTATTCAGCTTGCTGGTGAAGTATGTATATTATCCTTTTGGGAATTCATGTTTCATTGTTTCTTCATGCATCAGTAGTTTCCACAATTCTGGTTTTAAATTATAAATCCCTCTTTAAGAAATGCTCACCATTTTAAGAATCAATCATTGCACTCTTCTTTTAATGAAAATCTGAGCAGATGTATTAGTCTTCCATATATATTGTTGAAGTGTCATGCACGTAAATGGTAATACAAGTGTGTTCCATGTTTTGTTTCTAATTCCTTTATGTCTTAAGAATACATTTTAGTGATGCATCCTGCTGCTTGTAGGTCATACAGCTAGAAAGATACCCGGTCAACTGCATTCTTCATATTGTCAGTTGTAAAACTGAATTAGTTGCTGCATGCCCTTGTGAAGGGGAGGAAAAAAAAGGTTAAAAGTAGGATTTAAAATTTCAAAAGAAAGCAATGCAAGAATAGACTTTCTAATATCACTTATTTCATAAATAAAGGATCTCTAAAATTGCGTCTTACAGATTACTTAGAAAATGAGTTAGTGTGTTCACTATTTGCTAGTAAAATCATGTAATTCTACTGTCAACTTAAATGAATTTATTTTTTTGGACAAGTTTCCTGTTCTCCAAATAGTACAGGTTACAAAAAGCCCCGAGTAGAAGCAGTAACTGTTGGATGCAGTGTGTCTGTGACTAGAGCTAGAAAATGTAGTTTTAGAGCTCTTGTGAGCAGGTAGTTTATACATACACCTCTCTGGTCTTTTAACGAGAAGTTGAGCAGTCAATGAGCTTTATAGGAAATATGTTTTTGTTTAATTTGCACACAGTTATAATTTCCTTTCTTGAAATAAATGTTTAGCAACTCTGTGTTCTTAATAAACAGCTTGAATGTACAGGGTAATGCAAGAAATAAAGTTAAAAATAAAACAAAACAGAAAAGGAGGATTTTTTTAAGCAATCGGACATTAGTCATAATAGCCAACCTTCATAAAGCAGTAACTATCCACTAATTACAGACTATCTGATTCTTCAAAGAGTAACTGAATAAATCTGTAACATACTTAACTGCCAGTATTTGGAAATACTGCTGAAGGAGAAAAAAATATTCCCAGTTGCATTATGTGCTTTTTCCCCCCAGTAGTCTATTAGCTTAAACTGTACTGTCTTTATGTTGTACAAACAGAACAGGTTCTTAATATTCTCCAAGACTTTCATACAAAATAACATTTTTCTATCATTGTGTTTTTAATGGGGAGGGAGAAATAGCATTTGAAAATATCCTGGTCTCAAATACAACAAGATGCTAGCACTCAATGTAAGTTGAATATGATCTCTTCCCTTTTTTCTCCAATGTTTTCTTTTTTTTTTGTTAAATGTTGCTTATTCTGCATACCATAATAAGGAACAGATCTTACCTCCACTAAAGGTTTGATAAATTCTCGATGCAGGTGAAGCAGTTCCAGGTTGGAGGGATTCATTTTGTTCACTT